TAAAATAAATAAATAAATAAATAAATAAATAAAAATTTAAAAAAAAAAGATTCTTCTCTTAGGACAGTTATGGGGAACGTGACCTCTTGGTTTCTCCTGTTATTTCCCTGGCTGACATGAGGCTCTATTTCCTTCTAAAGAGTTTTTTTTAGAACACTTTAGAAGGAATATGTTTTTGTTCTAAAATCCCTCCTTAGTTTGCATGCTTTCTACAAGGAATTTAAATGGATAGAATACCATAGGGTACTATGGTTATTCCATTCACAATGTGCTTTCCAAAGATAAGAAGTATGAAAAATGGTTAACATTTCAAAGGGCAGTAATAATAAGCAATAACTTCCTGCGAAGTGTAGAGCTCAAGTGAGTATTGCTGTTTACTGAGGAGGTTTTGAGCAAAAATGCCTTTGTTTCCTTTTTTAAAGATAAGGTATCTAGTCTAGTAGTTCACAGAAATGTTTAGGCATGGTATAGAGATACAGTACGAAAGCATCTGACAAACCATCGCAAGACAGTCTTAAGAAATTTACAGAGAAATACAAATGGATAAAGAGAGTAAAGGGTCCATAATACCCCAGAGAATTTTCATTGACAATTGAAATGACACAGATCATTTCTATAGATGACTTCATAAATTAAACCAAAAAATCCAAGTTGAAGTAAGACTTTACTTCCAGTAAATGTACCTGGTTTTTTTGGTTTTTGTTTTGTTCTGTTTATTGTTTTGTTTGTTTTAGTGCTGGGATAGAACCTGGGCCTGTTGCCTGCTAAGCACAGTTTATCACTGAGCTACAATCACGAACCTCCACATACACCATTTCATGCTCTTTTTCTGAGAATAAACAGAAAAGTTGTAACAAGGGGGAGGGGCATCTCTCTGAAGATTCTGGAGAGTTACTAAGTGCATGAACTTATGTTACAGATCTAAAAGATAAGGGAAGCTCACAGTCATGATCCAAATGCAGCACTGGATTCCCTCCTGAAGTGTTTGCCTATGCAATAAGCTGAAAAGCAGGGCAAAGTACTAATAACCAACAGCACGAACTACAGAGAACTACTGACAGTGCCACAGAGGTAGGAGGCAGAAAGAAAGGCAGTTGGAGCACAGCCCCAATCAAGCACAGTGATAAAAATCCCAAAAGTTAACATGGGATTTTAAATGATAGACACACTCTCGGAAAAGGACCAAAACCAGTCTTTTAAGTCAATCATAACTCTGGATTAAAACTCTGTCCCTGGCCAACTGCCTATGAGAAGCAAAACTAAATGCTGTCTGAAAGATGACAAGATCATCCAATGACTCTAATTATCTACCATGTGGCTTTCAAGAAAAGGTAAGTGACTGTAAAGATCAAGAATTGATGAAAAACCAAGAGGAAAAAAAAAAAACAGACCAGGGTAAAGAATCCAACACAGGAAATCTAGATAGATAATTAAAAAATACTGTGATTATTTTTATCAAAAATTTACATATCAATGTGCAGATTTGGATGAGTAACTATAAACCAAAAATAAGTAGAAATTTTAAACTGAAAAATATAAGTGGAATAAGCTGAAATCAGTAATAAATGATAAAATCTTCAACTGTTTGAAAATTAAACAATATTCCTATATGAGAAATCATAAAGAAAATAGGTATTTGGAGATGGATTATATTAAAAATAGAAAATTGTAGGCAAAAGCTGTGTACATCAAGTAATTCAAGGCCAAAATGCAGACATTAAGAAAGGTTGATACTGTTTAACAGCATCCATTAAGATAGGTATTTTTTACTTAGCAACTCCAATCCTTTATCAAAGATGTATATGTTATGTACATAAAAAAGACATACATAAAAGATATGTACATTATGGCATAATTTTTAATAATCAGAAATTGGAAATAGCTCCAATGTATATTAATGGTAGAAAAGATAAAGAATTTATGGTATGTACACCAAAGCAGAATGATAATGATAATAAAAATGAGTGTGTATGAATCTTGAAATGTTCTTAAATAAAAGAAGCTACTAAGTTGGGTATGGTGGTACATGCCTACAATCCCAGCATTTGGGAGGATAGGACAAGAGGCTTACCTGTTCAAGGTCAGCCTGGACTATACAGTGAGTTCAAGGTCAATCTGAACTACATAGCAAGACCATGTCTCAAAAAACAAAATGAACGCCCCCCCCCAAAAAAAACCAAAACAAAAGCCATCAAATAATACATATAGTAGTATTACAGTTTTATAAAGTTCAAAGCAGCAGAAAATTAACCTACAATGTTGATGAGGTTACTACTGCTTTTAGGAAGAGGATGGTAAGTAGTAACAACAAAGGGACACATGGAAGCTTCTATGGTCATGATAATAATCTATTTTATAACACTGGTATTAGTTACATGAATTAATCTGCATGGTGAACAGCCTATAAGATTCCCAAAATGAAGGATAAATAAGCTCTGGCCTTAATATAGCTGGATTGAAGAGACTTAGAAAAAGATCGTAAACCAATCTATATGAGGAATTATGGATAACTCATAGTTTGACTTACAAAAGGAATGGCATGGTGACACAAATTGTACACATGTTTAAATGCAGAGTTGGCTGACAAAAGAGTAAATTGGCTTACCTATCCAGGACAAAACTCAGCACAATGAGGAAAAGGAAGGTATCAATACATAAATTTTGCTTCCATATTATTCTAACTGCTAGCAACAATAACAACAACAAGAACAATGGATTATACTTTGTCTCAGTAACAGAGACAATCCCAAACACCGAACTTGTTCAAACAAAGGGTGAAAAGACCCCTCATAGGGAATAAGTGGAGAATGGAAATGTGAGATTAACCAGTCAGGCCTTCAGATTCTATGCATACAGTCAATGCAGACCCAGAATAAAAGCAATCTTACCCTTAATCTCGTAGTTGAGATCTCAGCTTTTAAGATATCAGGATCATACTTAGTACTGGATGAAGATCCTGAGAAAACTTTTGAAAGAGACAAAAAATTTTTAATTATTTTACAGTTGCATAACTAGTTTTAAACTTAGAATTTACTGATTCTAAAAGCAAGATGCATATTCTTCTATGGATATTACTTTCTTTTCTAATTCCTTTGTTGTCAGACACCTAAGTATAAAAGTAATTTTCAAAATTCTAATTTCTAAAAATATTCAGGAAAAAGACATGTCACAAATTTCTTTTGTATTTTACATATACTACGTCCTTAGAGAATTAGAGTACAGATGCAGCTTCTCAGGGCTTTGCATCATCCAAGAACTTATGATTTAAGTAGAACTTTTCAGACCATCATAGCTGCTTCTTTAAACAAGGTCAGCTCCAGATTATCAACCCAAGAGATGAGGAAGAGATCAGCCAACTCAAGATGGGGGCAGCAGGCAACAAGAACTTTGTTCTAATAGCTCCAGTTCTAATAGCTCCACTAAAAATATTGTACATGAGCAGCAAAAAGGCCAAATTACTTGGCTTGCTCTGAAAAGGTAAAAATTAATTCATAAACGAACAAAAGGCAGTCAAGCAGCGACAAGAGCAAAAACAAGGTGTGCATCATCCCCAAATGGGGAGATTTTTTTTTTGGAATAGGGATGAGGGGTTTTACTGAAAAATCTGTAGGGTTCCCTCGCCTTTCATAGCTAAACTCCACCAAAGAGCAAGTGGCCTTCTACTATCTATAATCTTATCTGTACGTCTAGAGTCTCAAAAAGTACACTGTACTTACGGCTTGTGCGAGAACTTGACTTTTCCTTGTAGGCATCATTTAATCGTTCATATTCATCTAGGGCCAAAGCCAGTCTTTGCTCCTTCACATGATAGAGCTCCTTCTGGGTCCTGAGTGCATCCTGAGCCACTGAGAGATAGTCCTTGAGCATTTTCTCCTGTTCCCCTCGCCATTGTTTTCTTGGGTCTTCTATCTGCGTGGTTTCTGAAAACACATTAGGTTGGTTTTGTTTTAGCTTTTAATTGTGCTTTAGGGATGATTTAAACTTGAGTGACTAGCTAGCTTAAATCCTTACATCCTCTAAAGGGTTTGTTAACATTTCTGCACTGCTTTCTCTACATATTTGATACAGTTTTTGTTTTACTTTACTTGGCCCCCACCCCTTACCTGCTTCATTTTCAAGCCTGTCAACAATGTGTTCTCACTATAAATCATCATACAGGGGCTGCCAATTAGGTCATCCTTTGGAGAATTTTTTCCAAAGGATAAAAGCCAACTGATTTATCCCAGCATTCAAGGCCCAGTATCCTCTGAACTGAATCTACCCTCCCATGGCTCATGCTTCCTTCACGTACAACAGGACTCTCGCTATGCTGCCTTCTCCATCACTACTACTTCAAGTCTGGTCTGCAGATGACCACCAGCCCATGAACTCAGTTTAACATCGATGACGATAAGCATGAAAACAAGAGCAAACATTTTGACATCTTAATAGCAATTTTATTCAGTTACTGTGTATCTGTTGAATCTAGTAACATTGGGGCTTGCACTTTATTTGTGTTTATACTAATTCATTTTCATAGTATTTTACCAAAATATCAGTCAGTTCATGGTACATCAGAAATTTCAAGTAAACAAAAAAGCAAAACAACAACAAAAACCTTGTTCTGTGGAGGACCACCAGGACGGCTCTCCTTGAAAGAAGAGCATTTGTCTCCATTTTGGCTAAACCTGGCTCTATTTCTGTGTACTGGTATGTGCAGAGCTGGCTTGGATATTTTTTTATCCCCTCAATTGGCTTTAAGCAATGCAAATGGGTCTAGACCAGGTAATGATGTGTAGCCTTTAAAGCAATGCATGTGATGCCCCGCCTTTAGCTCTCAAGTAGTTTGCCTTGGCTAGGCTGAGTGACTCTGCTCCGTCCCCTGAGACTGAGGGAAGAGAAAGAATCTATGACATTTCAGGGCCCGAAGGGAAGACATCAAAGCAGGAAGCACTGACCCCAAAACACAAGATTCTTCCTCAATTTGTGATATACAGATTACTCTTTTTGCATATCTCACTCTGTATATTGCAGAGGTGATATCAGGCCTCCAACCTAGCCCAGCTCATAGCACTCACCTACTTCTTGCCAGTTACTCATCCCCGAGCCACACCCCTCTTCATGAATTAATAAAACCTTGGTTTGGCCCTAGGTTGAGGCTGAGGCAGGAGGATAGCAAGCTCAAGCCCAGCCTGGGAAATTTAGGAAGACCTTGTCACAAAATAAAAAAAAAATAAAAAAAATAAAAAATAGGGCTAGGGCTAGGGACGTAGTCCAGTGAAAAAGACCTAGGTTCAATCCCCAGTGTGAAACCAAAACAAAACAAAACAAAAACCCACCAAAGTAATTAGAATCTCTGTAGGTGAAACCAGCCCTGGTAAGTTTAAAAGCCCCTGAAATGTCTCTAGTGAACAGCCAAGTCTAAGAACCACTTCTCTGCACCCAAGCTCACATACTCCATCCTCTCTGAAGCCTCTCCAGTTGCCTCAGCTGTGAGTCCACACTTTGCAGTTCTCCATAGCAGTTCATGTGAGTTTTAAAACTCATTCTTCACTGTGTGGTACTGTTATAGTACAAGCCACCAAGCACAAAGAAAACAAAAATGGAAAGAAAAAGGAATTGGAAGGGTACAGATTACGCTGGCCATTTTACTTTATAATAAACAGGTGTATGCACTTGTGCCATGCTGGGCCAAGGAGCCGGGGGGTGTTGGTGTCTGGCACTAGGGCACAATGGTGCGCACAAGGGAACCAGCAGTGCTTGTGAATGCACAAGAAGGATGGTGCGTGCAGGTTACTGGGCCTCCCCCACGCCTGTGTCCTAGACTGTGCTCGAAGACTGGCTCCCGTAGTGGGAATGTCTCACAAAGGAGGCTCCCTGGGTGTTGGTGATTTTTTGTTTCTTTGACTTGTCATGACTACATTGAAATTCACTTTAAAACTATTTGTTCAATTTGTATATCTGAAACAATGCACTTTTCTGTATGTTGTGTTCATTAATACAAATGTTTTAAAGTAAGTGTAAACTAAAGGAGTAAAAGCTATAGTGTTAGTGACTTGAGAACTTGTATCTAGCACAAGACTATGTCCAGGTATTCCCCCAAAACACCAGATACAAACAGAAGATAATCTGGAACAAATAGAAAGAGATTTTTAATGCAGAAAATACATGAACCTTCATACACAAAAGGTTACACAAAATAGAAATTTCATTTTTAAAAAAGCCCTGATAATGGCCATGATGCAGTAACAGGGTCACTGTTAATAAGTAGAAAACAGAGTAAAATGTATGAAAAAATTGTTTTCAGATGTGTGACAAGAAGCAATGCAGGACTGTAATCTCTGAAAAAAGGAAATGAGCTCTCAGATTACCCTACATTCTGTTGAAAGTAGTTTCTGAACAGCAGTACAAAAAAGGAATAATCCCAGCAGAGAAATGAAGTCTTGCTGAGCTGGGGGAGGGGAGAAAACTTTTCAGGAAGGACACAATAGGTGGAATCTGTGAAGAGGAGTACAGAAGAGGTACAAGAGACTGGAGAAGTTCCATGAGTTTACAGAGATGTATTAAGCCAGTGGATGAATACTAAGACAACAAACTGGGGTGGGGCGTGCACAAGGTTACATGAAAGATGACTGGAACTCTCCAAGTCGAAGTTCCCCAAGCTCACATAAGGCTGTAGCAGGTTCTAATTAAGGTCGGTCAGAGGGGAGAGGCTGCAGCATACATGTAGGGATTCAGCGGGGACTACTGTAGTGTTTTACCTTAGTAATGGTGCTAAACAAGACACGGACAAAGGCTACTATGAACTTATCAAAAGGCTACTCTGATTTATCAAAGCTTTAAAACAGGCGGCTAAGGACTGAGTAACTTAACTGCCTGTCAGAAAAAGTTACCAATGTGACAAAAATCTAAAGAAAAGACCCATGGTCAGTGGAAAAATCAATCAATAGAAACAGACATGGAATGTAGAGATGACAGAATGAACATAATCTGGATGAAACAATTATTACAGAACTTAAGAGCCCAGAAATAAAGCCACACATATATTGTCAATTATACCAAAGGTTCAATCAGGCAGTTCACAAAAGAATATAAGCCAATGTCCAAGAAGCAAGTAAAAACATCAACATCATTAATTATCAGGAAAATGACAAATTAAAAACTATGAAATGCTACCTCCGCACATTACCTAAAATGGCTAAAATCTAAAAACACTTGAATGTCAAGAAATGGAGGGGATATGCAGCAACAATAACTCCCATTCACAGCTACTGGGAATGTAAAGTAGCATAAACACTTTGGAAAACAACTTAGCCATTGCTATACAGCCTAGTAACTCAGAAAGTTGCTATCTGCCACCCACAAGAGCCTAAACTTCTCAGTTTCATATATTCATTATAATATGGGTCTTTGGTTATCCTGACATTTGGTAGTTACATCAATTTCCAATACACAGAAATGTAATGACTCAAGGTACAGTTTGCTCACTTCCCACACTCCCTCCCTCTGGCCCTCTCCCCTCCCAGTCTGTTTAGATTCAGTGAAGCCAGCTGCCAGGTTATATGCTGCCCTGTTCAGAAGCTCACATGGCAGAGAGTGAGGGAGGCCTCTGACCAACAGCCAGCAAGGAAATGAGTCTTGCCAACAACCACACGAGTGAGCTTGGAAGGAGATCCTCCTCCAGTCAAGCCCAGAAATGACTGCAGCCACCTGACACTTGATGACAGGTCTGTGAGAGATTCTGAGCCACAGAACACAGCTACACTTTGCCTGAGTTGGTGGCCCACAGAAATCATAAGATAATAAATATTATTTTAAGCCACCGAGCTTTGAGTTCATTTGTTATGATGAGATATATAATCGAGAAACTAATCAAATAGATAATACAAACTGAAATGTATATAAAAACTTAAAATGTTTTTAAGTTATAATAGCTACAGTAAGTATGTACTCAGTTCTCCCTCAGTATCTTTAGGGGTTTTGGCTAATCGCATTTCTCCCCATGTTGGGGAGCTGATAAACTTCCAACAAAATATTTATCAACAGCTAAAAGGCTACAAAACACTGACACTTAAATGAATAAAGTACAATAATAATAATGATAACAAGTCATCAGCATTTTGTGCAATATCAACACTTGTTTTGGGTAGGTCAGCAGAAGCACTCTAGTAGACTGCTTTAAATATTGTATGTTACAAGAACTAGCAGGAAACATTTATATTTCTGAAATACTGCACAATTCAAATATGAACTACAAAAGAGGGTTCCCAAAGGCACCTTTGAGGAAGGCTTCATAAAGCAGGGTTGTGCTTTGTCTCCATCCATTATACTCACTGAATAGATTTGAAAAGAATATTTATTAAATGTAAATATTCAAAGAAAGTATATTATACAAATGTGGTATTTTTTATTAAGACCTACTGGCCTTGGGAGATCACTATATTATAATGAAATGTAATTTGCATGTTGTCTATTGTATTAAAGAAGTAATATGTTACATGCTGTTAAAACATATCTCAAGGGAATCTATGTTCCATCAGTTTTATAGATGTGGAACTTTATAGATAGAGAACACAAGAGTTCATTTGAAGATAACATTAGACTCTTCATAGGAATACTATTTCTGTCTATACTGCATATTTCTCCTTCCTGCTGTGCTCAGGAAGAATGAATTTGAGTCACTTATCTTCTTTTCATAAAGTATCTACTAAATTTATTTACTGCCTATTCATTAATTCTATAATTATTAACCAAGCAATAAGGGAAAAGGAAATGTTCAGGCATAATTTCCCCTCTAGGGAATTTAGAAAATACAGAAAAATAACATGAATTTAAAAAAAAAGAAACTGCTGTTATGCTTAAAGTGAGATCAGTACCTTGAGAAAGGAATGGATAAGTGCCATGACAACTTGGAGAGCAAGGGGCTTCTTCTGGCTGTAAA